CAGGACTTGATCAATATGATGGAATCATCCGACATCCACAGTTTCAATGGACAGGTTCAGTTGCCAATGTATCTTTCTTCTCATTTTCCATTGACATTATCTCCTGTGCCAAGTTCATTTGATATTTCCCAGAGAAATTGGGCAGGAGTTTTTCCTGCTAATCCACCCTTGATTGGTCCTTCCTGGGGTTCCAGTATGCAGTTCCATCCAGGTAGTGTTGCAGCACCTCTTTCCCATTATTTTCGTGATGCCACCTTTGGGTCAAATGGGAATGATGCGGTTGAGTTTGATAATGAGGGTCCTCTTATTACAGAACTGAACTCAGAGGAGTTTGACTTGATCTACCAGGAGAGTGATGCTGGGGCATCCAGAAGGTTCAACTCTGATGACAGTGGCCATCATATGTTTCATTCTGATAGCAAGCAACGGAAACCTCATTATGGTTTAAACCCAGTACGTACATCGCGAAACATAAATTCTGGTGCTTTATCAATAGAAAAGAGTAAATTCACTAGAGAAGTGAGAGGTTTGGTTAGAGAAGATGAAAATGATACATTTCAAAATTCCAAACCAACAAGTAAAGTAAGTGATCATAACTCCAATTCCAGGGGTGCAAACAAGAGATTTGAAAATTTTAGTAATGGCTTTATGGAGAAATTCCCCAGGTCAGCAAGTGATAAATGGGAAAGAAAACCAGTCTTTTCTCCAACATTCTCTTTTTTGTCTGGAAAAGCTATAAATGGTTCACAGTCTAAGAGTTCATCCAATCATGTTCAGCCAGTTGTTGATGATGGGATTTCAAATTGGACTTCTATGTCCCCTGAGGCAACTGATGGGTCCGAAAGAATCACAGGATCTTCCATGTTGTCTTCTGGAAACACGAGAAACCAACTGTTAAATGGATTTGAACCTGCACGGGTAACTGGATCAGATCAACTGCTTCAATTTGCACCAGTGCTTGTAGATACTTCCCAGCAGAGCAGAGGGGACAATGCAAAGGGTCTGCCTCTAGCATTTGTTCCTACTGGCCCACCATTTCCATTTGTGATGGTACCAGTGCCAGTTTATAAATCCATAAGCCAATTAGAAAGAGATGATGAAGTAAGTCATTGTGGAGCAAAATCTGACTTGAACATTGACTTGGTGGAGAGTTCTGATCATTCTAAAGATTTCTTGAACTCAGCTGCTTCAAGAGTGCCTGGACCTGAATCCTTTGATGAGCTGCACAAACCCGACATTCTGAACAGTGATCGTAACAGCCATTGGCAAAATCTGGAGTATGGACGTTTGTGCCAGAATTCCCACTATCATGCACCATTAGTTTATTCTTCTTCCCCTCTTATGGTGCCACCACAGTATTTGCAGGGGCCATATCCCTGGGATGGTCCTGCCAGGTCCATGTCAGCCAATCTGAACTTGATGCAAGTAATGGGGTATGGTCCTTCTCTGGTGCCCATGATACCTCTGCACCCTGGACCTGATAGGGCTTCTGGTAGTTTCCAGCATTCTGGAGATGAGGCACCACGATATCGTGGTGGTACAGGAACATACCTGCCAAATCCTGTAAGAAAATTAATATCTCAATCTCTCTTCGTTCTGGAATAAGAATGCCTTATCTGAGTTATCAAATTAGAAACGTGGACTTGCAAAAATTATCAATATTGGCCCAACTGAGTTGTTTGTTCACAAGAAACATGTACACATTTATTTTTTAAATGTATGAGGGCTTGTTTAGCTTCTGACTTGCTTTGAAGTTTTATTACTACTGCAAATATCTACCCGGTTATCAATATTCTCCTTGGCTTCTGGTTATGGTGGATTTCATGTTAGAGTAAGCTACTGAAAGTGTACACAGATTCTTACATAAATAGTTACCATTCCAAATTTAGTGTTTTATCCAAACAAGTGTACACAGATTCTTCTGTTTGTCTTAATATGTGATTGGGTCTTTGCATTTTATGAATTCTTTACATGATGAGAAGATAGGAAGAAACAAGCAGAAATTTTGTTACCACTTGGGTAAGAGATAATGGTAACAAATTTCAGCTTGAATTTGTCAGGTTTTTACCAGGATAAATGAACTTGGAAAAGTTTTTCCTCTTTTTCTTTTTACTCATTAAATTCTTTCTTGAATGTGCTTTGTTCTATTAGTAAATAGTTGACATATGCTTCCTAGGTGCTTCACTACCTGGCTGTAGCACCTGAACTTGAATGCAAGCAACATCATGCTTCTACCTTTGTTACTTCATTATGTGTTGATGGAAAGTATTGTTTCGTTAGGAAATTCTATCCTATTCATCATATAATAGGTTCCATTAAATGTTTTTTTTGGTTAACAACAGAACACATTTTCTGTGATTTGGATTTAAAGATACACATTGTAGTATGATACCATTATTGGTTTCATATATGTTCCATATACTTGTGCCATTGTGAAGGCCCATCTCCTCTATTAGGGCATTTCACTTTAACCTCTCTTTGGTTAGCATTATCCTTCAAACAATCTAGTTGCAAGTTTCATAGCTTAAGAGAATGATGTTTAATACTTCTTAACTTGATACTTTACCTGCATGTAGAGGGCATAGATTTGATATTTTTTTTTGGCTCTTCTTTTTTGCACAGAAATTCTCTCATAGAGAACGACAATCAAGCTCGAGACACCACAGAGGAAACCACAGCCGTGATAGGCACGACCATAGGGATAGAGAAGGAAGTTGGATCAGTTCAAAACATAATTTACGCAATGGTGCTGAGAGGCCAAGAGCACAGCCTGACCAACACGCCACAACAAAAAATCATGTAGACACACAATGGGACTCTTACAGGCATGTGCCAGCTTCCTATTACATGGTCCAGAACAGTTCTTTTGGGTCTTCAAACTCATCGCATGGTAGGGGAACTGTGGTTGGCACATACACACAATCTGCTTTAGGTTCAGACGCTGGAGGTCCGACAAGACCAGAAATTCCTCCTTTCTTGATGGTGTATCCATATGATGAAGGCGTCAGTGATGTTTCATCTGTTGAGCCACTTGAATTTGGTTCACTTGGGCCAGTGCATCATCCAGAAAACCATGTAGCACATCATCCAAGCGATGGAGTTCCAGCAAGTGGGACATATGAGCAAAGGCATGGTGGTACTTATCGAGTTGGTTCATGGCAATCATCTCCAGATCAACCCTCTTCACCTCAGCTTAAAAGGTAGTTCTAAATTAACAATCAATTCACAGTATTTTCTTTTGCTGTGCATATTGTTGTTGTAGTCAATTTAGGAGAATAATGTAAAATAGAGTTTAGATATGCTAATAAGGTGTCATTTTGAACATGAATATGGCTCACAATGGTCAACCCCAAATATGCTTAACACTCGGGTAATCTGAAGTGTATGAAGTGATTGTAGCATGTTTAAACGTTGATTTTAACTTGTAGTTGACAATTACAAGTAGGCCATGATACTGTTCTTTGATAATTCTGTCGTTTGTTTGATGAGTTAAGAGCAAAAAACAGTTAAATACTCGATTATTTATGAAAAGATGGTCACCGATTCCATTGAATCACAGTGTAGAAACTGAGAGTTTGCAGAGCTTGTGGTTCAATAACTACACTTCATGACATGTGTGTTGGCTATAAATCTGCCATATGCTAGTATAGTTATCATATGACAGTAATTCTTAGCATCTAATATGATTGATTTAATACCCATCTCTGGCTTGAAAAATGGAGACATTTTATGTCGAGAGCTATAAATCTGTGTTACATTTTTCATGGTCGACATTTTCATTAAGCTTATCATGTTAAATACAATACGTTGCTCTGCTTTCGATTGGTCGCAGTTTAATATGGTGCTATGTTTGCCAAATCTTCTCAATGACATGTTTTGCCAATAATCAGCTTCCATTTAGATCATTTCTTTTATTTGATATCGATGAATTTTGGGATTTGTTTTTACTTTCATCGTTTCGTAACCTATTCTCCTCATATGTTATTATGAACCAAATTATAATTTGCTATTTCTCTGTATAAATTACACAGGATTATTTGCTAGTTACTAAAATAAATGTAAAGGTGATGATGAGGTGCCCAATTGGGTCCAAGTAAATAGGAATATAATCCTTGGAAAGAACCTTTAACACAACCTTTTCGAGGCACAGGCCATTACATTGATGATAAGGTTGTTATGAATTCAATGCAAATGAGAAAAGGTAGAAACTCTGATGATGATGGCTTTCATCCACCAAAATTTGTGCATATTTTTATTTCATTTCTCTTTAAAACTAAAAAAGTGGTTGCAAACATATTTTATTTCATATGTACAATATCTGTTATCGGAGTAATAATAATGTATATTGATTCTTTTTTGATCTCATATATTGAAGTGTTTATTGTTAAACGAGATACAACAGTGTACATATATTCTCCTTGGATCCTATATATGTAAAAATGTTTCTTATTAAATCGTGGAAGAATCTTATTAGAATTATCTCGAGTTCTTGAATTTTTTTTATAGTGGGGATGGGATGAAATAATGGATCCATTAATAAAAAACTTGACATCCTCATAATCAATTATTTTATAAGATGATTATTGATAGAGTGAATGGATTTATCATTTTTTTGAATTATCTCATTCAATTCAATAGTTTGGTGTAATGTGTATCCTCTTGTGTTCCTGTCATGTGAATGGATGAAATGTTGATTGTTGTAACTATTCGTATCTAGTTTATGATGAATTGAGATGTTATCTTATAACTATGTCATTATCGATCATTAAGATGATATTTTATATTTCTCAGGATGTAATTTTATATTTTATAAATGTTATCTTTCATATATCATTGTTGAACTTCAAATTAATGATGATAAAATTATTTAGTTTTATGTCATATTAATCATCCTTCTGATGTATATATATATATATATATACCAAAATCAATATATTAAAATTAGTTACAATGATCATATAGACGAAGACGACACCCCACCATCACATAAATTAGCCGAAGGCCATAACACACGCAGCATTCATTCATGCCCGCCAAACCACCACCACCTCTCTTCCCTCCAGTACACCCCACACGCCGCCCCAAATGCCTCCACACTTCCGCTTCGTCGCCATCACCACCACCACCACCACCACCACCCGCCTCCTCCTCCTCCTCCTCCCTTCAACGCCTCATAAACCTCTCCATACCCTTCTCTGGAACCCATTCCCTCCCCCAAACCCAACACGCCATTGACACCGACACCTGCAACGTCCTCATCAAATCCGACACCCACTCCGGCAGCCACCTCCGATCGCTGCTCGTGTTCACCACCATGCTCCAAGCATCCATACCCCCCGACCTTCTCACCTTCCCTCCCCTCCTCAAATCCGTCGCCCGCCTGTTCCTCCCGGATCTCGGATTATCCATCCATGGATGCGTCGTGAAGACCGGGTCCGACTCGGACGTCTTCGTGAATACCGCGCTCGTTTCCATGTACTGCTCCTTGGGCCGTGTCGGTGACGCGAGGCACGTGTTCGCCGAAATGCCTGAGAGGAACTCCGTCACCTGGAACGCGATGATCACCGGGTACGTCCACAACAGGCGGTTCAGGGAGGCACACGAGTTGTTCTCCAGGATGCTCGGGTCGGGGCTGGACCTGGGCGAGGTCACGGTGGTGACCGCCCTCTCGGCTTGCTCCCATCTTGGAGCTCTCAGCCAGGGGATCTGGATTCACAATTACATAGAGAGTCACGGATTGAGGCTGAACGTGTTCGTGGGCACTGCATTGATCGACATGTACATGAAGTGCGGGGTGATCGATGAAGCGTCCAAGGTTTTCCAGGCGATGAGAGTGAAGAACGTCTTCTCCTGGAATGCTTTGATAACGGGGTATGCCATGAACGGCGAAGGAGAAGCTGCCCTCGAGGCGTTCGATGAAATGATTATGGAGAAGGTCAAGCCGGATGGAGTCACCTTCCTGGCTCTTTTATGCGCGTGCTGCCATCAAGGACTCATCGACAAAGGTAGAAAGCTTTTCGTCGGCATGGAGGAGGACTTCGGCTTGCGGCCAAGGATAGAGCACTATGGTTGCATGGTTGATCTTCTCGGCCGAGCCGGTTTACTAGAGGAAGCTCACAAGCTCATCGCGACGATGCCAATGAAAGCAGACGCTGCTGTTTGGAGGGCACTGCTTGCTGGTTGCAGGATCCACGGGGACTTGCAGCTCAGAGAACTTGCAATAAGAAAGCTCCTCGATTTAGAGCCCGAGAACGGAGAAAACTACATCTTGCTTGCAAATCTTTTAGCTCGCGATCGGCGGTGGACCGATGTGGGAAAAGTGAGGCAGATGATGGGGAAGAAGAGGATGAAGAAGGACCCTGGGTGCAGTTTGATCGAGGTCGATAACAGGGTACACGAGTTCGTCGTCTCCGATCGGTTTCAGAGGAAAGGACTGGAGGAGATCTTTACAATGCTGGCTGCCATGAAGAGGGAATTGAAGCTGGCTGGCTATGCTGTGGACACAGAGATGGCTTCCTATGACTTGGAGGAAGAGGAGAAGGAGATGGCCGTGATGCATCACAGCGAGAAGCTTGCGCTTGCGTTTGGACTCGTAAGAGCTCAACATGGGTCGACCGTAAGGATAGTAAAGAACTTGAGAATGTGTGTGGACTGTCATACCTTTTTCAAGTTGGTCTCGGAGGTGTACCAGAGGAAGATCGTTGTCAGGGATAAGAACCGGTTTCATCATTTTGGTGGTGGAGTTTGTTCCTGTAAAGACTATTGGTGATGCAATCGAGTACCTTTTTGATCGCGTTGTTTCGACGACCCGTTCACTTCTCTAAGCATCCCTCCTCCCCTCGGGAGCCCAGTCTGGTACCAAATCCTTGTTCCTCATATACCACCACATGATCCACAAGCTCTCATGTAGCTCCCAAGTCTTTCCAAGAGTTGCTTCGATCCAATTCACAACACCATCGAACCTACCTGTTGGTGAACTTTTATGCCGTGGCCGAGGAGTCAGTACGACTTGGTTTGATCCCGAATGTGCAAGATCGCCAATGCAGAGACTCGGGAGGCGGGATTGCGTGTCCGATCGGGTTGAGCTATGAGCTAAGAGTCTTGTTGCTAGTTTCTTTGTCGCTGGCCCCTGCACACAGGTCGAGGTCAGAAGGGGGATTTTATGACTCGACCTCTTCGAAGCTCAAGTTAGCGTTGAGTGGCATGAGAGTGAGTTGAGTGTACAAAAAAAAGTCCCCCCTAGTCCTAGCCAGGTGGTGGGTTTTATACCTGCACACGGGGATCGGTTATACCCAGTATGTTAATGATCGCCGACCCCTTAAGCGGTTGGTCTATGCCTCTGTGCGCGGACGATGGTCGACCTGTATGGATTAGCGCCGAGCGACACCGTCCCGAGCATTCTAGGATGGCTCTGTACTCGGCGGCGTCGTTCTGCGGACGATGGTCGACCTGCACAGATCGTCGTCGAGCGGCATCGTCCCGAGCATTCCGAGGCGGCTTTGTACCTGACGGTGCCATTCCAAACCTTTTGAGGTAGCTTTGTACCAGACGATGCCACTTGCATGACCTTGTATAGGCTGGGAGGATGGTCACGTTGTTTGAGTCGTCGATGTGGTCCATCACATCGGCGTTTAAGTTCCACATCAGTGCTGTCATGGCTGTGGTATGTTGTCAAAGGGCATGCTACCAAATTGTGCCCTATCATTCTTCCCCCCCTAGAGAGCCATGCTTCGACTCCCCCCGAAGGGGCTCGGGGCATGGCTTGGTGTCTTCACTTGAATGAATCGGTTGTTGCACTGGAATTGTTGGCTTGATTGCCGGTTGGTGCTAGACTGGTTGAAAGTAAATGAGGCATGGATGTATGATTGGTCAAGTGGTGTTACTCGAGCATCGAAGACTGGTCTGGTCGCGCTAGTCGGGCGCTGGAGACTAGTGAGGTCATGCACCATGGCTCAAGCACTAGATACTGATGTGACCGAGCGTCATGGCTCGATATTGGGAACTGATGTGACCGAGCGCCATGGCTCAGGCACTGGGGACTGATGTGACCTAACACCATGGCTCAAGCACTAAGGACTGGTGTGATCGAGCATCATGGCTCGGGCACTAGAGACTGATGTGACCGAGCGTCATGGCTCGGGTATTAGGGACTGATGTGATCGAGCGTTATGGCTCGGGCACTCGGGACTGATGTGACCGAGCACCATAGCTTGGGCATTGAGGACTGGTGTGATCGAGCATCATGGCTCGAGTACTGGAGACTGATGTGATGACTCGGGTACTGTGGACTGATGTGACCGAGCACCATGGCTCAGGCACTAGGGACTGATGTGACCAAGCACCATGGCTTGGGCAATGAGGACTGGTGTGACTGAGCATCATGGCTCAAGCACTGGAGACTGATGTGACCGAGCATCGAGCACCATGGCTCGATTATTGGGGGTTGATGTGACCGAGCACCATGGCTCGTGTACTGGGGACTAATGTGACCGAGCGCTATGGCTCGGACACTAGGGATTGATGTGACCAAGCATCATGGCTTGGGTATTGGAGACTGATGTGACCGAGTGCCATGGCTTGGGCACTGGGGACTAATGTGACCGAGCACCATGGCTCAGGTACTGGGGACTGATGTGACCAAGCATCATGGCTCAGGTACTGGGGACTAATGTGACTGAGCGCCATGGCTCAGGCACTAGGGACTGATGTGACCGAGCATCATGGCTCGAGTACTAGGGACTGATGTGACCGAGCATCATGGCTCGGGTACTAGGGACTGATGTGATCGAGGATCTGCATAGCCCATAGCCAAAGCCGACTATGGCGGGAGATTTCCCGCCATGCAGTTTTGTGGGAATTTCATTTATGGCTAGAGCCTTTGCTTTCGGTGGGAGGCTCTCGTCTGGTGGGAACATTTTTTCCTTGGAACTTGTGTTTATGCACTCTTTCATGAGTCATTATGGCAAGGTGAGTGGCTGCTCGCATTCGGGGAAGGTGAAGGGTCACCTCGATTGGTGGGGCTTTCTTTATAAACCTCCTCGATTTTGCTGGTTCTTACTAGTTCATTCCAGTGCTTCGACTCCCTTCCTCCATTGTTTCCATTGGTCGGTTAGCAGTTCAGGTCGATCGGGATGTCTTCTTCTTCCTCTTCTTCATCTGGTCGATCGGGGTTTGAGGTTGCAGCGTCAACCTCAAGTAGTGTCGGGGATAGCTTGTCGGCGGGTGGCGCATCCCCTGTGAGTGAGAAGGTTGTGCGGGCCCTCAAAGTCTCAAAATCATTGCATGATTTTGATTCTATTGTTACTATAGTGCTGCTCGGTCGCATCTAGGATCATTATAGTATTCCGGTCAAATATGAGTTACATGCTCCTCGGCCTGGACAATGCGCCTATGACCTGTTCTTGGACGAGTTCGGGCTGACGCTTGATGCATTAGAGGTAGGGCTCAAGTTTCCTCTGCACTCGACAATTGAGGTTTGTCTCAATGGCGAATTTCACCCTCGTAGATGATGCCGAACTCATGGCGGTATATGGTGGTCTTCCTTAGGGAGTATCACGGTGTGGGTATATTTAACCCTGACCCGCTCGCTCTTCCTTACTTTCATCTTTCCAAAGGGCTGGGTGGTTACTACCTATCGTCCCGGGGTGGTTTTAGGGTAAGCGGGGTACCTTCTAACAACAAGGGGGTGGAAGAGCCATTACTTCTTTATTAATCGTAGTTAGGGATGGGGTTTTGAACTCCAATGGTCGGCTCGATCCGGTTAACAATACTTCCTCAGAGTTGTCTAATGAGGAATTCGAGCAGCTTGGGCATTTGAAGGAGATTCTTTCTTCTTCCCAGGCGATTAAGAACATGATCGAGGAGCTTGGTCGAGGCGGGTCTTAGTTTGGCTCCTCGGGGTATGGTCCGAGCCCGTCCCCTTGCCTTTGCTCCAGCCATAGCTTTATCATTCTCCGTGTCGCTGACCCACCCTTGATCTCTTGGGTAGACATGGTGAACCTCAAGGAACTGAGAGGCATGCCTCGCATTTCAGCGACTTCTCGCCCTACCCAATCGTTCGCTCCTCCCTCGGGAGGGCCGAACCCGACAGCACGACGGAGAAGCCTTGAGCAAGACTGTCCACGGAAGAAGGCTAAGGTTGGGACCCGCAAGATGTCCGAGGCGGCTGTGGCTGGGGGGCTACCACCGTTCAGGGGGGCGAGTGCAGAGAAAGTTCTTGGGGCGCCACCCAAGGCGGATGTGTCGGCGGGAGCACGCACGGTAAGGAGCATGCTCCCTCGTCGGGGGTGGAGCCCGGGAGGTCGGTTCAGTCGGTGTCGATGCCAGACCTTTGTCACATCCAAGCGCAAACAAAGAAGGAGCCTTTCAGGCTCTGTCGATGGGCGAATTACTTGATGGAGAGGCAGAGGCTCCCCTCGAGCCGCGTTGGCCGGGGCTGACCATGGGGAGCCGCGTGTGGACTGATGGTTTCTCGTCCGCGGCGTATGTCTAAGGTGCGCTCGTCCCGGTAGTAGCTAAGCAGGTGTATACCTCTCCATCGGAGGTGCTGATTGGCAAAACCGCCAAGTCCTTGGTCTGGGTAAGAATGCCGCCTTTTTCATCTGCTCCCGTGGTTTCTTCTTTCAAGCACTGATTTGCGCTTTCTTTGTGCAGAGCCAACACTTCTTTCAAGTTCTATGGGGCTGATAGATCGGGTTCAGGACGTGGGTTGAGTAATTAGTAATATGGGGGATAAGATTACCGTACTTCGTGGTCAAATCGAAGAACTAAAACGAGGTTCTACGCCGGAAGATGTTGTAATGGCCGAGCAGCGGGAGGCTGCCTTGGAAGGGGAGGTGGCTCGGTTGAAGTCTGAGCTCGAGGATGCTGAGCGGGAGCAAGGCATGCTTCGAGAACAGCTCGCAGAGGCTCAATGCCTATCGAAGGAGTCTTGATGGAGGGCGAGCTACTGGACCTATTGCGGGGTTTGAGGAGGCCCGAGCGGAGATGAATAAGGCAGAGGAAGCCCTTGTTGAGGAGGTTAAGGCGACGCCTGAAAAGGGGAAGAAGATTATATCAAAGTACAAGGAATTAGTCGGTTTTCAACTCGATCTGCAAAGATCGGGCCAGGTTACTTATGAATACGGATACCGAGTTGCTCTGGCTTGGTTCCGAGCTCGGTACCCCGATCTGGCAATCGAGGAAGATCCTTTCACCAGCCTGCTCGAAGACGAGAATGTTGCAATGCCCGATGAGGTGCCTTTTGATGACAGCGTGGGCGATCCCGAGGCCTAGGTCTATCTTCACGTATTTTTGGCGATCGGTTGGAAGTTGTTATGCTTTTGTTTGTCACGACCGATCGGGCTATGTAACTTTTTGCTTATCAATACAACTCTATTCTCTGGAACAGATTTTTCGTGTCACGTGGGGATTCTTGGACCGACCCCAGGGGTTCCCGAGCTGAGAACACTTGTTAGACATAGAACTTTAAATTTGATATGTGTCAGGTCCTTGGTAACTGATCTCCTTCTTGCATTGTTAGGCGGTAAGTGTCATCCCAAAAAACTTCAACTACTCGATAGGGACCCTCCCAACTTGGGGCCAGCTTGCCCCGGGTGCATGTCGGGTCACTGACCTCAGCCTTTCGTAAGACCAAGTTGCTAAGCTTGATCGGTCGAGGGCACACCTTTCGGTTGTAGAGTTCGGCGATAGTTTTCTTGTAAGCCAGGGTTCGGAGGTGCGCGTCGGCTCTCCGCTCTTCCACGAGGTCTAGGTTAGTGTGGAGGCCTTTGTCCGTTGTACCATCTTCGAAGTTCTTAATCCGAGGGGTCGGGAAGACTACCTTGGGGGGGAGCACCGCCTCGGTTCCAAATGCTAAACTAAAGGGTGACTCTCCTATGGCAGGTTTTGGCATTGTGCGGGAGGCCCACAGGATGCTCAAGAGCTCGTTGACCCACGTGCCTTAAGCTCTGAAGACTCTCCTCTTAAGGCCCTCAAGAAGAGCTAGGTTGGTTACCTCGGCCAGACCGTTGGTTTGAGGGTGGGCCACCGAGCTAAACCTTAACTGTATCCCGTAATCTTCGTAAAATTTTCTAAACTTGGCGTTGTTGAACAATGTCCTATTGTCAGTGATGATGGCTTTAACGATGCCGAAACGAGTGATGATGTTCTTCAAGACGAACCCCTCGACCTACCTCTCAGTGATGGACGCCAGTGGCTCAGCCTCTACCGACTTTGTGAAGTAATCTACCTGAACAATGAGGAACCTTCGTTGTCCTGAAGCTGGGGGGAAGGGGTCGAGGAGGTCCATCCCCCACTACGCGAAGGGCCATGCACAGTTTATCGGGGTTACTGGGATCGTGGGTTGATGCTGCACTCGAGCATGCTTTTGGCATTGTTGACATCGCTGTACATAAGTCTTGGCGTCCTGGTGCATGGTTGGCTAGTAATAGCCTTGTCGGAGGATTTTGAAGGCTAGGGTTCGGCCGCTAATGTGCTCTTCGCAGATTCCCTCATGGACCTCGGTTAAAATCGCCTGGGCCTCGTTGGGGGCCAGGCACCTCATGAGCGGTTAGGTGAATGACATTCGGTAGAGTCGTCCATTCATCTCGCAATACCATGCTTGTGTACGCCAAATTCGTCGAGAGGCAGCTTTGTCGGTCGGAAGTGTTCCATCCCTCTTGTAGCGGAGGATCTCCTCTATCCAGGTCGGGGTCACATCAACTTTGACAACATCCTTGGCCATGATGGTTCGACAAGGGAGTTGCTCGACCTCGGGAAGGGGCGGTTTGATGCTTGGACCCGAGGCAAGTTTTGCCAATGCGTTTGCTTGCATGTTTTGCACCCGAGGAATCCTCGTCATCGTAAAGTGTTGGAAGCGGTCGGCGAGTTGTCTCACCTTCGACAAGTATTTAGACATGGTTGTATCTCGAGCTTCATAGTGTTGAATCTCGGATTTTGATGATGAAATCAATTGATAAATTGTTTGATCTAATCTATATGTTGAGAAAAGTGTGTAGGATTAACTACGATAGTGGTAAGACATAAAGCAAATGTTGTGCCGGAGTCAAGATCGAGATTTCGTTGGGAGTTCAAGAGTTTGTCAGAAGTCCGGACGTTCGTCGGAAGTTCCACCGGAATTAACCGAGAAGTCTAGGAGCTTACCAAAGAAGCTTGTCGGAACTCGCTAAGAAGATCGTCGTGAAGTCTAGGAGCTTGCTGGAAGTCCGCTGGAACATTGTTGTGAGATAGTCGGAAGTTTGTTGGAAGATCGTCGTGAAGTCTAGGAGCTTGCTGGAAGTCCGCTGGAACATTGTTGTGAGATAGTCGGAAGTTCGTTGGAAGATCACCGGAAGCTCTCCGGAAGAACAATTGACGAACCGGAACAAGAATGCTTTGTTAAATGTCTTAATTATTGTAGTTATACCTTAAGTTGAGTTAGGATTGGGAGGTAATCCCACTAACTCAGTTAGGGCCAACTGGACCCTTAACAGGACTGAATTGGGCCGGATTGAACAACCCATTCAGGACCTGAAGTCCGACCGACGGTGGCACCACTTGGGACTCGGTCTCCCAAGTGTTCTGGGCGGTGGTACCATCGGTAGTTATTACCTGCCAATGATGGTACCACCAGAGCTCAGTTTTCGAGAGCTCTGTCAAGCGGTGGTACCGCCAGACTAGGCGGTGGTACCGCCCAATAATGGTGATGGTACCGTCGGTACCATAAATTCTAGGGATGTGACACTTTTTAGCTTCAATTCTGAAGCCATTGGGACCTATAAATATCCCACCCTTTTCTGTATGGAAGGGTAACAAAAGTGCAATCAAAAGTGTAAAAAATCTTAAGTGTTGGGGCGTTAAAAGTGTTGTAAAAGTGAGAAGAGTCCTCCTCCCTCTCTTATCTTTGTAATCATCCAAGAAAGAGGAGTGAGGCTTGTAAGGGTTATCTCCTAAACCTGTTGAAAGGAGAAAGCATTGTAAAGAGGTGGTTGGTCTTTGCCTATTGAAGGAGGACCATTAGTGGACGCTGGTGACCTTAACGAAGGAGGAATCGGAAGTGGATGTAGGTCACAATGACTGAACCACTATAAATTCCGATGTGTTCTTTCCTTACTGCAAATTCTCTTTACTGCATTCAACTTTACTACATTGCAAACTGCCCAACCTTTTCTTCTCTACTTATTCAAAGTAAAATAAATGATTTGAGTCGAAACCAATTTTTATCATACGAAGGCTTTTGAGTCGACGTAATCTTTCCACTACACTAATTCACCCCCCCCCCACTCTTAGTACCGCTCTTGATCCTAACAATTGGTACCAGAGTAAGATCACTCTCGTTTGGTTTGAAACCCAAGAGAGATGACATTTGCCGACAACCAAGAGGGTCATTCAATTACACGTCCACCTATGTTCAATGGAACGAATTACACATATTGGAAGACTAGAATGAGGATTTTTCTAATTTCAATGGATTTTGAGTTATGGAACCTTGTAGAAATTGACTTTCAAAAGTCTTCTCTTCCGATGAGCGATTGGAATGAGTTAGAGAAGAAGACTTTCGCTTTAAATACCAAGGCTATGAATGCCTTGTTTTTGCGCTTTAGATAAAAATGAGTTCAATCGAGTGTCTATTTGTGAAATGACTTTTGATATTTGGCACACACTCAAAATCACTCACGAAGGAACTAGTAGAGTAAAGGAGTCGAAGATAAATATTTTAGTTCATACTTATGAATTGTTTTGGATGAAGCCTAGCGAGACTATTGTCGACATGTACATCCTTTTTATGAATGTCGTCAATAGTTTAAAAGCACTTGGCAAATGTTTTTCGAACTTTGAACTTGTTAATAAAATCTTGAGATCTCTTCCAAAGAGTTGGGACCCTAAAGTAATGGTTATTCAAGAGGCCAAGGATTTAAACAACTTTTCTCTCGAAGAACTTATCGGGTCACTAATGACCTATGAGATGACTTGCAACGCTCATGAAAAACTTGAGAATAACCTTTCAAATAACAGGAAGGTAATGTCACTAATGTTGAATCTCGTATTTTGATGATGAAACCAATTGATATGTGTTTATGTTTTAATTTGTGTTTTGAGTGATGCAGGATACTTCGATCAGGATGAGATAATTAAAGCAGGAAAAATCATGTTGTGCCGGAGGAAAACATGTCAGAAGATTAGACGTCGGGCCGGAGGAACGGTCGACGTATCGACATAAGGTTTCGGGCTGTGGATTCGGACATCGGGCCAAGAAGAGCGGATATTGCGCCAAGGATATCGGAGTTGCGGAGTCAACTGGCCGATTGGGCAATAGGCCACAAGAGAGGACGATGTGCTGAAGAATCAGATGAAGCGTCGAGGGACCAATGACATGCCGGACAACATGATTAAATGCTTAGTATTAATTGTCTAGATCGAAGTATGTTTTACATGTGCAGTATTAACTACGATAGCAAGGCATGAAGCAAAATGAAGTCCCAGAGTCAAGGACGCGATTTCGTTGGGAGTTCGAGAGTTCGTCAGAAGTCTGGATGTTCGTCGAAAGTTCTGTCGGAACCAGCCGAGAAGTCTCGGAGCTTGCCAGAGAAGCTCGTTGAAACTCACCAAGAAGATCATCGTGAAGTCCAGGAGCTTGCCGGGAGTACGCCGGAACATTGCCGAGAGATCGCCGGAAGCTCGCCGGAAGAATAGACATAGGGACTTGTTTAGCTTAGCAAATGTCTTAGGATTTCGTAGTTGGCACATAATTGGGCTTGGATTTGGGCCAATCCAATTATGGGCCAGCTAGGCCCATGTAAGAACTGTGTTGGGCCCAATAACAGGCCCAAATAATGCCCCAAGAAGTCTCACCGTCGTGGCACAATCTTCGAGACTATGTAGGTGGTGGTACCGCCCAACACTGCCCCCCAAGCGATGGTACCGCCTAGGGCAGTGTTAGTGTCAGACTGACACTGGGCGGTAGTACCGCCCAACGCAGGCGGTGGTACCGCCTGTGCCTGGGGAACCCAGGATGGGAAAGTTTTAGGCTCCAAGTTTGAATCAACTTGAAGCCTATAAATACCCCTCTCATCCCTGGTTAAAACACACAAGCACAGAGAATTTAAAGAGGGAAAAATGATGTTGTAATCTCTTGTGAGAATCCTCCTCTTTGAGTCTAAGTGTTAGAATAGTTTGAGAGGAGTGAGTGCTTGTAAGGGTTATCTCCTAAACCCGATAAAAGGAGAAGAGGGGTGTAAAAGGTGATTGGCCTTCGCCTATTGAAGGAAGGCCTCTAATGGATGCTAGTGACCTCGTCGGAGGAGGAAGCCGAAAGTGGATGTAGGTCACGTTGACCAAGCCACTCTAAAACTGCTGTGTTCTTTGGTTTGCATTTTATTCTTATCATTTGCATACTGCAAACTACTTTACTTAGTCACTACGCGTCCATATGCTTCTAAGTTATTAAGCTTCCGAAATCGGTTTTCGTCGAAATTAGTTTTTATCGTACGAAAGTTTTTAAACCGATGTTATTTTACCGCTGCACTAATTCACCCCCTTCTTAGTGCCGACTCTTGATCCTAACAACTAAAAACTCAAGAAGACCACTTGAAAAAAAAATTCAAGTGATGAGGACTATGATGATGACTTGGCACTCTTGACAAGAAAGTTTAAAAAATTCATACAAAAGAATAAATCTAAAAATGACACTAAAAATAA